TATTGAAAGTGATCGTAATAGAATAAAAAGAAGATTATTTATTTATTATTTTAGTTCATGAAAATGTTCTAAAAAATAAAGTTTCTGTTCTTCTTTTGCAAGGTGCAGGTGGATGTTGTGATTTATTTGCTAGGTGTTATTATTTATATAACAAATATCATGCAAATGTCAAATCATCTGATCAAACAAAATTAAAAAAAATTTTGAAATATTTATCCACTTTTTATTTTTAGTGAAGATCCATTGACAATGAAAGAAAATGAACAAATCAAAACTAAACTTCGTGAACAATTAAAAATTATTGATAATAAATTAAATCCAGAATCAACTATGAATTCATCAATTGAACATGATGAAATTGTTTATTTTGAATTGGTTTATTATTGATTTAAAAGCTCATAGTCATATTGAAGCAGATTTTGATTTAGCAATATCACACGCAGTTCTTAATGGTAAACGAAAGAAAATATCTTATTATACCAAATAAATATTTTTTCTAGTAACATCTAATGATGATTCATTCGAAACGAATAAAGAATAAAAACGTGAACAATTAAATTTAGCATTTGAATGGAAACGAATTGATATTATTAAAAATTTTATTATGAAAGATGAAAAAGATTGGAAAGTAAGAAAAATTTTTATTTTAGAAAATTAAATTCAATGATTTATTTGAAGATTATGATAAACTTTGTAACTCTTTATAAAAATGAAGTATATTAATATGCAACAGAAATAAAATAATATTTTTCTGTTTTATTTAGAATTATAATTTAATTCAAGATTTTAATAATCCATTACGAGCAAAATATATATGAAGAAAGAATTCAATCATCAAATATTATAGTATTCAATTGCTACTAAAGATGATATTCGATTAGTATTTTTTACGTATAAAAATATTTCGTTCATTAATATTTGTCATATTAGATATTCATAAAATGCATCATTGTCTTAGAGAAATTTTATTAAATCAATAAGTACATGGACCTCTTTATTATTTTTCTAGAAAATGAACAATAAATTGAAAAGATTTAAGACCATATCATATTTCAGCAGGATTTCGTGATCCTCATCATATATATACACAATTAATTCGATTATTTCAACAAAATAATCCGATACAACCATAAATTCAAAATATTTATGGAATAGCCAGTATTCGTACATTTAATTTACTTCAGCAAAAAGTTTTTTACTTTTAATATTTTTTTATCAGAAAAAACTCATCGAATTAATAAGAAACAGTGTTTTTAATAGGAATCTGAAATAGAATACCTTTCGTCAAGTCGAACGTGTAGCCAAAGTATCATTTGGTACATTGTTTTGGAACTCAAAATACCATACTGTGCCTAAAGTAAAAAAAAA